AGATGGAAGCCCTACTCAAGCACAGTCCTGTCAGGGTGCTCCTCTTCTCTATCCACCCCCAAAACCTCCAGCATTTGCTGGTCTCAAGAAGAGGGTGTACCTCACTCAGAAACACCTTCAGAGCACACAGGGCAGCTCTCTCATCTGCCCCTGAAGACCCAGCTACTGTCAGAGATGGGATGCTGGACTACATACAGATGAGACTTGGTTCTCTGTCCTGATGGGGTGAATCCTATATGGAAAAATGCCACTCCATACCTGATGCTGGAAGAAGCTAAGAGACCCTACGGAGGGGAGGCATAGCTGCTTCCCGGAAGATAAGCCCACTGTGTTTAATCCTGCTTGGATATAGGGAAGGGAAAAGAGAAGAGATGGTGACTTGGCAGGAAAGGTACATGCCAACCCCAAATTTTAGCAGCTTGCTGTGCATGCAAAGTAAGTCAACTGTTTCCATGTTGGCGGCCTGATCCATGTTCTGGCAGAACATGACCAGCCATTTCTGAGGGCCGCTCGGCCGGAAAACCACTTGGAGACTCCACCTTAGCTCACAGGAGAGGTATGGGAGGGACGGGAACTCACTCCAACACTTGGGAGGCAAGGACGGGAAGGGTTTGTAGACAGGGTTCCTCCAACATACAACTTGCCTTTTCAGCTCAGAGACGGCTGATTAGTCCCAGAATGCCTTTCCTCCAGTTCAAGCAAGCCAAACACCATCCCAGACACACACGCTTCGATACTACAAAATACTCTTTTCTCTAAGGACCATCTAATACCACTAGTTTGTGCAATCACTGCATTTATTATTAATTTTTAAACTCTCTCTCTCGCTGTCTCCCTGTAGAAATTTTTTTTAACCTTTTATTTTTTTTTATGCAAAACTAATAATTTCACTTTTTCCACTCCATCATAAAATCTCCTCTAAAAACACGACGACGAGAACAAACATGGCACAGACACAGAGAATATCTCCCTGTTTTGTGTTTTGTTTTTTTTCTAAGGGTTATGGGGAAGGGAAGGGGATACTTTCAAATAAACTCCTCCCTCAATCCTATGCCCTTTATGAAGGGCATAGATGGATCTGCTTTCCCAGCTCCATTAAAGAGTAAGGGCAAAAATTCAGAAGGAGGAGTGTAACCCACATGAATACAAAGGTAGGTTAGTCAGCCTCAAGTGGCTTGTCCACCTGTGGGAACTTGAGGCTGCTGCTGCATTCAAGTTAACAAATATGTAACTCAGAACAGCACAGGATCCTCATTTCGGATCCAGAAGTTCAGGGTTTAGTTCCCACCTGGTGACCCACCCAAGGAGGGATACGTCACACAAGCAGTCAAGCTGTGTCTGCAAGCCGGATCATACTCCTTTCCTCCTCCACAAAGAGGAGGTCCTGCACAAGTTCCTTTGACACAACAAGTCCCCTCATATCCTCACCACAGGAAGAAGGTCCTCACGGAGTATCCCTACAATGACCCACTGTTTTGCTCTTCACAGACAGTTCCCTCGCTTGTCACTCTGGAGAAAGGCAAAACCCCTTCAATTAAACAATTCCTGTCCCCTGCTCCCAAAGAACACCATACAAGAGACACTGGGGAAAAGAATTCTGCCAAGCAAACACACACCTTGGCCAAAACACATCAAGAATTTCCTATTAAAGTTCCCTTTTATCTCCCACTTAAACGCTTCTATTTTTTTTTTTTCCAGAACCTCAATACCACAAAACAAAACACATCACCACATACACGCCAAACAGTAACTCAACAACCTAAAGTGACTGGCCAGTTTGTATCCACCCCACAAGGAAGCTCCTCTTATCTCACAGCCGCAGAATAATTCTTGTTGAGATGGAGGGGGGGGGGAAATAAAGAGAGGAATCTCCTCACTGTTTCCGTAAGAGCGAGCTTTTCCCTACGCCTACAAACTGCTCATCTTTGAAGCTGCAGTCAAATGGATAGGCTATGCTAAAATAAGGGATCCCTGGGTGTGCCAGGCACAGGAAAGATGCAAAAGTAGAGACACGAAAAATACAGGCAGGTATTAATACAGACACACACACAAGTCCAACAAGTTACAGGAAGCCTTAGCTTGGTAAATGGAATGGGGAAGTCTTTCTCCCTGCCCCTAGCTTCAGCTGCAAATGCAGCTGCATCCCCAAAGAGTCCATTAAGCTCTTTAATCAAGGAAAGAAAAAAGAAAGAGGTGTTGAAAGGGTGGTGCTAACAGCACCTGGAATCCCCCTCGGACTCTGTACAGACATCCAGCTGCAGCTGGTGTGAATTCACCATGCCCCATGGCTTTGAATTCCACCCACTGCGAGGCAAGGCTTGTGGGGAGGGCAGCAAAGATTTTATTACACCGACCCAGGCGCTGGAGGCAGGGAAAAGACAAGCTCTGGGCACAGAAGCCCTAATTAAGGTCAGAAGCTGGTCTATCCCTCTGCCACCCCAACAACATCCCTTGGGCAGAAAAACATTACCTCTCTCCCACAAACTGCCTCCCTTCTACCCTCAGACCACCATGACCACAAAATCACTACTCCACACAAGAGCACTCCTTGGAGCTGGCAGCTCTTGAGCATCCTTGTGTGGAAGCACCAGAGGGGTTGATTCCACTCATGTTCACCCACCCAGGGCAGGTTTGTAAGCAGGTGAGCCCTGGCATGGGGGTATTTCTTCCACCCTTTTCACCTCTGCAGCAAATACGTAGAAGTGACACTCCTCTGCCCCATCCCAAATATGTGGGACAGGGCTGAGAGGGTGAGGCTCTCCCACTGATTGATCAGCACCTCTTTAACTTGCCCCTACAGGCTAAGCCCTGTGCAAGTAGGGGGAGAAGGGAGAGCACAGGAATGGCATCTCACCATGAAGCTTAGGACTCAGGAAGAAATGGAGCAAGCCAGAAATGGCAGGAGAAAGAGAGAGCTTATTCTGGATGTGAACAAGGGTGGTCAGGCAAAGAGGAAGCTGTGGGCAAAGAAGGGCAAGCTGTAGTCTTGCCCCCTTCTCTTGCTAGGGGGAAGAGAAGGAATTTGTAATCAGCTCAAAGGAGCCCTGGGGGAAGAGATCCAGCGCACATGCATACGATGCAAGAGAGCTATTTCGTATTAGCACCTTTGGTTGACAGTTGTAAGGGCTGTTTCAGATGCTGAGAAGACAGAGGTGAACCCCTTCCAGGCCATCCACCACAGGGAAGGAAGAGCAGTTGAAAGGAAGCAGGAAGAGCAAACTGACCCACCTTAGCATCCACCCTTCCATCTCTCACGCCTGCCCAGGGAGCAGGAGGAAACAAAAGAGTTGGGGGAACCCTATGTGTGAGGCAGGAGACCAGCCTCAAGCTGTCGTATCTTCCCCCAGACTGAAGGATGGATGCATGGCCCACTCCTACTTCCACCACGGAAAGGCCAGGGAAAGGCATTTCATGCCCTCTCCCCTAAGCAAGTGCAAGTGATGAACACCAGGAGGAAGATCTGGGCCAGAGGCAGACTCCCCTTGTCTTCCCTTCCCCCTGCAAAGCTGAGACAGTTGGAAGATGCAGGAGAGAAGGAGGGACCAGGCCACCTGAAAGCACCCATACAACTGCCAAGGTAGCACCAATAATCAAAGGAAACGGGAAGCCAATATCAGGGGGGCATGCTGCATGAGGCAACCCCACTATCCCAGCTTTGTCTCAAGCACCTTCCAGGCATGACACTTGACCTGCCCCTCTCCTGTTTGCTCTGGAGGCATCTGGATCAGCCACTGCCACGAAGACAGTGCAGACCCAGGTTACAGGCAAATAACGGGAATGATGGCAGGATTGCATTCATGCCAAGGGGGAACCATAGGAAAGGAAGAGACTGCATGCACATTGTGGGACAAGGCTCAGGGAGGAGTGGGCGAGGGCTCCAATCCTCGTACATCCTCCCCTCGAGGGTCTGAAGCTTCTCTTCAGTTTTTGTCACAGATGGAAGTGGAAGGAGGGGAAAGAACACCTTCCCCACCAACCCCACAGGCACACAGACACACTCACCCACCCCTTATCCCCAAAGGCTCCACCACCTGTTGGACAACACCACACTCAAGGACAAATAACCAAGCCCCAGCCCCACCATGACCCTCCCTGCCTCCTCCCAGCAGCAGCGGCACCCAGAATGGTGGGTGCCCCTGCTCCCTCCCACTGACACTCCAGCCTCTAGGCAAGAGGGAGCAGGCAGGAAGAAAGGAGCAGGAAGGGTGCCAGTGAGGGCAGAGGGACAGTCAAGGGGAGAAGGAGAGAACTAAGGACAGCCATTCGCACCACGACTTCTTGCAGGTAGAGCTCCCCCCACTCCCCTGGAGCAGGGGGGACCTGGCTGCTCACTTGCTGCTGCCTCCTCCACTGCCACCGCCTGCCGCCACCTTCTCAAAATCCTCTGCGTTGCAGAACTCCTTGATGGTGACAGTGAGGAGGTTGCTGGTGACATCTGTGACCACCACGTTAGAGCAAGGGGACATCTCGGGACGCCAGTCGCCAGCCTCCTGCTCCGGGTCAGAAGAGGAAAGGGACAAGGAGGGTGTCTGCCCCCCACTGCACCCTCCTGTGGGAGAACGCTTGCTGGTGGCAGCCGACTCAGGTGGGATCGACAGGTCAAGGACCTCTGACTCGCGCCAGTCGGGTATGGCTGGGCTGAGGGTCTCGGGGAGCAGCTTCGGAGGGGAATCATCTGGGTCGGAGGAGGAGTGAGGGGCGGGCGATGGGCAGCCGGAGGAGCTGGAGCTGGGGGCATCATAGGGGGTAGAGCTCATAATGAGCCCACAGGAGGTGGCCTGGGAGCCTTCAGCCTCCCCTTTGCTCTCCAGAGAGGGGGCAGGCGCAGTGGACGGCTTGTTGTAGAGCGAGAAGGCGCCGAACTTCATGTGGCGGATCTGGGTGCGGAGGACGCTCTCGCTGAACTTTTTGCTCTTGCCGATGACGCGGTTCCGGGAGGGGATCTGCGGCCGAGCCAGGCCCCCAGCCCCGTTGGCTGGCTTCCCACCTTTGTCAATCACCTTGAGGTTGAGGATGATGCGGCTGCGCTTGGGCTCACGGGGCTTCACCTTGCGGTTGATGATGCGGACGGTCTCCGAGAAGGGTGAGACGGGAGGACGGATGCCAGCCCCGCCGCCCACGCTCCCGCCGTTCTGGGGGTCTGGGCGGGGCAAGGGGCGCCGCGACATGCGGTGGCAGCGCCGGATGTCTTTCTTGAGCCGGTGCACCGCGGCGCTGGAGTGGAGCTTGGGAGAGGAGGTGCTGGAACCAGGCTTGACAGAAAAGTGTACATCCCCAATGTGGAGGGCCTCGGCCTGGGCCCGAGCCTGCGGTGGTGGGGAGAGAAAGAAAAAAACAGGGTCAGAGCGGTAGCCCAGGTGCAGCCAAATCTCGAGTTGGGCATTGCTCGCCTCAGGACAAATGCTTAACAGCAGTGACAACTCACATTTGCACCCATGTTAGTGACAAGCACACATACACACCTATGGACTATTGGTAGCTATGGCACAGCTGCCACACAGGCACACGGCACGGTCTAAATCCTTACTGGGCAGCTAGTTACAGCCTAGGCTGTGCCCCCGTTGATCGGTGCTTTTCCTAGGAGGCAACTGCCACCCTCTAGTCACTTTCCAGGGTCACAGTTCACGGTTTCCAAGGCCCCCCTCTCAGTCATCGTCAGCCCACGTGCACAACCCTTCACCATCAGTGGAACCACCAAGTGTCCTCCTGGGCTTTGGGGCTGTTGGCATTGCGTTAGCACCCAAAATTATGTACTAGTCCCAAGACAGGGGGCTGTAACTGGTCCTCTGAAATCAGCAGGAGATGAGGGGGAAAGGAAGAGTAATGCATCCAGTTCCCTCTTCCCTTCCCACAACCAGACTCATCTTCTCTGGAAAGCATGGTAGAAAGGGGTCTTGAGGAACACAGATGGGGACGGGTGAGGGTGGTCTGACAGAGCTGTTCTAGTTAAGCACAAGGAAGTCAAAGACCCAAAGCTTAGCTTTAACTACAGTCCACAACCAAGCTATCTTTACTCTGCTGTGGGAACAAGGTCTAGTGCTTAAAGCCAGAGAGCAGGCCAGCTGGAACTCAAGTCTAACTGCATCTCCAAAAAAGAGACTGCCTTGTCCTTTTGAACATCACACTTGTTCGAAACGTACAAATGAAACAAAGCAGTTTCAACTGCTTGGTGCCTTCTTCGAGAGCCAAAGCAGGGGAATAAGACTGTTAAACTCTTCTGGTGCTTGGAGATAGTTCCAAAAACTGCCCTGGTTCATGCAACAGAGACAAGAACATTTTCTGGCAGCAGGAACAACAGTTTCCTTAGTAAGCTGAGGCAGTATGACCTGAAGACCCTGTGGGCATGGAAACTCAAAGCATGTTCTTACATCACCCTTGTGGAGCTCAGCCTCCCACACGCCCCCTGGCTCCTTGTACAAAGAAAACTCTTTCCTTATTCCCTCTCAGTGGTGGTCACAGGCAGAAGTCTCCCAGGCCCGGAGGGTACAAGCAAGCCCCCTGATTGCCCATCTAGTGAGCAGCTTCCCCCACCTCGTGGGCACAAAAAGAACTGCACTGCTAGAAGAAGACAGCTGCTTTGCCTCCCCAACTTTTCCATCCTGTTGCCCCTTAGCACACGCCAAGTCCGGGATGGCTCCTTGCCAGCTCAGAGCTTAAGCACTCCAACACCATCCCTTTTGTCACCCTGCAGGCTGTGCCTCCTACCAGAGAAACGCTTGGGGAAAAAAAAAAACGTGCCTGCAAAAGCAGAGATCTAACAGACCTAAACGAGGGGCCCCAGCCAGCTCTTGCACAATAAGCTCAAAGCCTTGTCCCTACACCCCCACAACTCCGCTGTCACCCAGTGCCCCTCTTCTCCCACCAAGATCCCCATGGGAACTGCAGAAGATCCTGAATAAGCAGAGAAGAGAAACACGAAGACATTTTGTTTCTCCCTAGCTAATGCTGGAGGATCATGTCCTGCAGTAACTACTTGCATCCCGGCTTTAAAAGGGCTGCAAAGATGAGGCCTCTCCTTCTCCCCCCACCCCGTATGTGAAAATGCAGACTAGAGGCTCAGTGGAACCGAGGACTCTAGACTTCGTATTAGCCAACTGACAAAGAGTCAGGGATGAGTAACATGACTGCCAAGGCAGGCACAGATACTCCGTATCCACCCTGGACCGTACAGGATTGTTTCACTTAGCCAGAGGGAAATGTTCCCAGCCCAAACACATCACACTGTAGCAGGAAGCATCCCAGCGTCCACCTAGTTTCTCTCTGCTCAGTCCCACACATTACTCCATGCCCCAAACTGTTCAGAAAATGAATAGCTAGGCACAGTTCCTGTCCCAGGCATCCTACAGGCTGGAGCATGCAGCAGCAGCAGATGAACTCCCAGCACCACGCATCAGCTCTCCCCCTCCCATCCCAATGATCCACAACTTAAGAGACCCCACAGATCCCATCAAGGAGTCACAGGCATAGACAGATGCACATCTAGGACTGTGCTTGCTCTGTCTTCACAGGTCTCTCCAAAGCAGATGGCAGACTCCAACACAAGCTACAGTTCACTTTCTGACATTACACACCAGCACAGTCTGGATTAACAACTTTATTCTTCCTTTCCCCCCCTGCATCCTCATCACAGCCAGTCTTTCCAGCACTGCTGCTTTTGTTCTTTGGGCTTCTTGCCAATTTACCACTGCTTGGCCAAGAGCAAAGTGCAACACAATGTCCCCTTCCAAAAGGCAGGAGAGGGAAGCCAGGCAGAAGGTATGGACAGATGCACTGGTAAAAATCCTTGATCCACAGCTTCAGCAGATAGACACAGGCATCCTTCAGGGCCCCTCTACTGCTGCCAACATTGCATGTCTTCTAGATTAATTCCCTACCCTATAATCATGCCTTAGAGCAAGAAGCTCTGCCCCCTCTGTGCCCCTCTGTTCAGAGCAAAGTCTAATTGCCACCTGCCCACAGTGATGCCTTCTATCATCACCCAGATGAGGAATCAGGCCTCCCCCCACATCTCCCCTATGTTTGGGGGAAGCAGTCAAAAACACCCACAGCAGTCTTATACACCCCAAAATTTCTCAGTGAAGCTTCCCATCCATTATGTTAAATGAAAAGCAATAGTGCTGGGACAGTCACCACCTGGCCACTTCCACAGTCCTGCTGATTTTACTTTCTCAGCCTGAGCACATTAATCAGCTCCTGTCCCATTTTTACAGACTCCCATCTTGGTTTTGTGCTAACACAGCAGCTAGCACAGAGCCCTGGCCCAAGTCTAGGACCTTTCCAGTGTGCCAGAGCCATCATGTCTCCTTTACTTGTTATGTGTCTACATTTCCAGTTATTTCTGGGGTACTTCACCAAAGCTGAAGCTGTTTCTAAGTAATTTTTCAGCTCTCTGCATTTAATAAATTCCCGTTTCAGTAGTCTCCAGGTAGACTACATGTACCATCAATTTCTTTGTCCAGATTATTAAAAGGGTAAGCTGGGACTCGACAGTCCTCCTCCCACTGGGGACTGTTGTCCCCAGTGACCAGTTCCAAAGAGCCATATGCAAATATTCAGCTTACCTTGAGCTTGTTTTTCCAGGTAAGGTTTCAAGAAAAATAGTATCAGATGCTTTATCTAACACCAGCCCCCAGAGCCCTCTCACTTGCAAAGCTCAGTATTCCTATCACAGGATCAGGTTTATTCAGGCATCAACTGTATGAACTCAAGACTCTTCCCTGCAGAGAACAGCATATTTTCTGGGCTCTCTTTCTCATGCTTCCAACTTGACATTAAGTAACCTGCTACCTCTGGTTAGGAGAAGACTCAGCATTCAGTTTTATCTGCTGGAGATGCACTTCTCCCTACTACAGATCCATTAATTGACCACACTCACAAGCCGTATGAGCATGAGGTCTTTGAAAAACAAACCCATTTAATCCTTTCAGCTGTGTCACCACAGTTTGCTGCTTAACTCAGAAGTTTCCCAAATAGAAACCACCTCTCTGGGTTTTGCTGTTTTCACCTGCAGGATTTTCTCACTGCTGAAGCAGTACTCAGCATGTATACGAAGTAATTCACTCTGCTTACAGCTCAGCCTACATCAGGATGCAGCTTCTGGAGGCTTGCTGCAGTGCTCTGTCACGAGAGCAAGGCAATTGCTAGGATTGCTTCCCTCCCCCCACCTTCCCTTTTGGGATATGTATCACCTTTATTTAGCTTCTACAGCTCTCCCTCATTGCCCCTGGGAACTAGTTTATCTCCCCTGTTCCCTACTATTTCTGAATAAATGTCCCTTGAGGCCCAGCAAGCATATTTGTTCATTCATTCCCTTAACTCACTGAGGCACACAAGCACGTACATGGACACGTGCCCAGAAAAGCCTCTCTTACCTGATTTGTATCAAACCCTCTGCAATTTAGAAGAAAAACAAAAAAAATCAAAAAAAGATCTTGTAAAGCAATGGGTTTCTAGCTAATTATTTCAAAATCAAGGCACTTCCAGTAGTGCTGCTGCACCATAGTAGTGCTATTCTCATAAATTACTGGTTCTGCTTTGTCTTTTATTCTCCACCTGCATTCCCACAGTCCTTGCTCCAAAGAGCATTTGCGAGAGCTCTTCTTTTCCCCTTCTGGCTGCCATTCTGCCTTTTTATCACCCTCTTTCTTCTGCAGTCTTCCAAGTGACAAGGCAACAGCAAGCCAGTTCATAGCACCGTTCTCCCAAGCAACATTGCCATAAACTACGGTTTCCCTACTGGACGGGGAACAAAATGCTACAAAGGGGAACGGTCTGTTTTCAAACCGCTGGGGGATAATTTACGAACAGGGAGGAGATCAAAAGAAACCCAACTCCAACTTTAGAGTTCAAGGAAGGGCGAAGCAGCAGAACATCACGCTGCTTGGCCTCTTCTCCCGCCCCTCTCCCACTAAGGCTCTCCCTTACTTCTTTCCTCCCCATTAACCTTCTCCAGCCTTTTCACCTTAGTATTTACAGCCATCCCAACTAGGGGGCTTTGCTAGCCACCCACTGAGCCTGCAGATCAGGCTCTGTATCTTAATAGCACTTGCAAGACTTTATTAGATTAGCTGGCAAGTTTTGCATTCCTCTCAGCAGAGTGCCGAGGGAACAGCAAAATAAAAAGAGCAAACTGAGTGGGGGGGAAAGAGGAAGATTACTATAGCATGCGCTATGTCTCTCTCTAATCTCACACCAGCTTCCATTCTGACCTCCAGCTGAAGGGGTTGTCCTCAAGGATGACTTCAGC